CCTAGCTCACATTAGTAGGCACCATCACGACTTCTGAGGATGGAAAATCCGGGTCATGACAATAATAGGTTTATGTCTTCATATATACAGTGTTAGATCTTGTTTTAATGATGCAAATAATATACATGTGCAGAAAATAAATTACAATAAGTAAAGAAGACTGTTGGAGTGGTTCATGATGTATAAGGAAAGAAATCAATTAGCATACAATCGGCAAATCTGGAAAGATCTCGCAAATCTGGGCGGAATATAATCAACAAATCAATCAGCAATAACAATGATTAGTTGAGTTGGAAAGAATCAAATAAGCCTTGAGTAAAGGCACAAATCAAGGGCAGAATCACAGAAGATTGAAGGATACGAGGAGATTTGGTACGCAACCGCATTTGGAAGAACCAACAATCAAGGAGAAATCTTTATTTGTATCTCTGCTGAAGGAAAGCACTCAAGAGAAGCAATGGCTCATTCCTTATTCTTGGAAAGAATCAATTCTTTCCAGGGATCAAATCTCTTGGGTTGTCAAGCCTCTACCATCCATCAAAGTATTTATACCTCGTTGTAAACCCTAGTGTATATACTTTGATCAAACCAAAATCGCTCTCTTTATTCTACTGCAAACAAGCATTGTAGTCCACTAGGATCTATTGTGTAACAAGTAAGGGAAAGAAAGAGAGCATAACACTGGTGAGGCATTGTATCAAAAACGAGTGCTAGAGAAACTGAGTGAAATTCACTACAACTGTACTCGGAAGAAACTAATTTACTAAAGAGAACTCCATTGCAACTCAAGGGGACTAGACTAGGATTCACATTGAATCCGAACCAGTATAAAAATCCTGGTGTCTTTAATTCCTGCAATTACTTTTTGCAATTTACTTCCTGTTATTATATCTGTCAATTTATCATATCTAGTCGACTACTCAAGTAATAAGTCAACTAATAAGCAATTATTTTTAAAAGAGTTACAATTCACCCCCCCCCTCTTGTAATTTCAATTGGTATCAGAGCCTGGCTCACATTTTATTTTTGCTTAACAGCTTGTGAGAAAAGATCATGGCAAATCAAGTTATCATAGGAGCTCTTTTTCAGGAAGGAACTTCACAAGTTAGACCACCATACTTCAATGGACAACATTTCTCTCACTGAAAAGTACGAATGAAATCTTTGCTAAAGCTTATGATGTCAAAGTCTGGAGAGTCATCAAAAAGGGAAACTATCCCCTACCTGCTAGCACTCCACCACTTGTTGATCCTGATGATATAGATTCATACTCAAAAGAGCAATTGGAAGCGGTACAAGTGAATAACAAAGCAAGAAACCTGCTTCATAATGCTATAAGTGGTGAAGAATACAAGAAAATATCGAGTTGTGACACAACCAAAGAGATGTAGGACAAACTTGAGATCACCTATGAGGGAACCAGCAAAGTAAAGGAAACACACATCAACATGCTAGTTCATGATTATGAACTCTTCTCAACGAAAGAAGGAGAATCCATTGAAGAGATGTTTGCCAGGTTTAGTAAAATAATTAGCGACTTAAAGGCATTTGGCAAACCCTACACCAGTAGTGATCAAGTAAGAAAAATTCTCAGAAGTCTACCAACCACTTGGCAGACCAAAGTAGTCACACTAGAATCTCAAGACCTAAACAAATTATCCTATGATGAACTACGAGGAGAACTCATTGCTTTTGAAAGAACGCATCTGAAAAAGACAAATCAAGAAGAGAAAAAGAAAATAGTTGCATTCAAAACCTCTACTGAAATGGCTGAAAATGAAATTGATGATCCTGAAGCTCTACAAGAAGAGATTTCTATGATGTCTAGAAATATGGATGGACTGATGAGAAGATACAGAAATACAAAGAAAGGAAGATACCCACCAAGACAATCCAGACAATACAACGAACAGGACAAGAACGATGGAAAATGCTACGAATGTGGAAAATTTGCGCATATTCAAGCTAAATGCCCAGAACTGAAAAGGAAGATCTCTAGAGGCTTCAACAAGAACAAATCCTTCGGAAGCTGGAGCGATGAGGATGACTCTGACCACGAAGAAATAGCAAATCTTTGCTTCATGACAATTTTGGAAAATGAAATAAACAAAACTTCAGGATGCTGGACAGATGAAGACGATTCAGATGACAAGAATGAGAACTATTTCACGTCACGAGGTAAAACTAGTGAGGTAAGATCTTATGACTATGAAAGATGTAATGAATTGCAGGATATTCTTGATTCAACCTTGAAAGAGTCTCAAAAAATGATGAATGAGCTTAAGAGACTCACTAGGGAGGTTAAAGACTAGAAACTCAAACATGAAGTATGTGAAATTGAAAAGGAAGTACTTCAGGAAGAATTTGAGGGTTTGGAAATGCAACTCAACAGCTTGCACAAATCCACCAGTCATAGTTCTATTATGTCAAACCAGACGACTTACAAATCGACTGGAAAGGAACCAACCAGAACCAAGTCAACCAGTCGGTCGGACCAAGTGACTTACAAGTCAACTGGGAAAGAACCAGCTAGAACTAAGACAGCTAGTTCAAACACTTATGAAAGACCTATAAGCAGGTCTGAAGCTACATGTCATTACTGTAATAAAAGTGGGCATAAATATTTCTTTTGTTATTTTCGTAAATCAAATGTGTCAGGATGGGTTTGGAAACCAAAAAATTCCGAACCTAGTACTACTAACCCTCTAGGACCCAGGAAAGCTTGGGTACCTAAAAGAAAGTAATCATCTTGTCTTGCAGGAACACCACAGAGTAAGCCACAAAGGAAAATGGTATCTAGATAGTGCGTGTTCCAGTCATATGACAGGAGACAAAAACCTGTTCAAAGAAGTTACAAAAATCGATGGAGGAAGTGTTAAATTTGGAGACGATTCAAGGGGCAAATAGTCGGTACTGGAACAATTACCTTCAATAATAATTGTGACATTGCTGAAGTTTATCTCATCGGTGGACTAAACTACAATCTCTTGAGCATAAGTTAACTCTGCGACTCTGGATATGAGGTAAAGTTTAAGAAAATAGGTTGTGTTATTGAAGACGAATTAGGTAAGAGAATTCTTCCTGGAAAAAGGTATGGAAATGTTTATATACTTGATGGTTTTGAAAAGATAGATGGTCATATTTGCTTATCTTCTATGTCTAAATGATCCATGGTTATGGCATAGGAGACTAGGTCATGCTAGCATGCATTTGATTGAAAAACTGTCCAAACATGATTTAGTTGTTGGTTTGCCTAAATTTAATTTTTCTAGAACTCATATTTGTGATGCATGTCAAATAGGTAAACATACCAGAAATTCTTTTAAAAATAAAGATATAGTATCTACTTCAAAACCTTTGCAATTACTTTATATGGACTTATTTGGGCCTACTAGAACTACTAGCATAGGAGGAAAGAGGTATGCATTTGTTAATGTTGATGATTTTTCACGTTTCACTTGGGTAATCTTATTGTCTCATAAGGATGGAGCTTTAAGAAATTTTGAAATTTTCTGCAAAAGGGTTGAAAGAGAAAGGGGACATCTGATCTCAAAAATTCAGAGTGACTATGGAGGAGAATTTGAAACCAGAGCTTTTGAAGACTTCTGTAACGATCAAGGATACACTCATAATTTCTCTGCACCATGCTCACCACAACAAAATGGGGTTGTGGAAAGAAAGAACAGAACTCTCCAAGATATGGCAAGAACCATGCTACTAGAACATTCATTGCCAAACCACTTCTGGGCAGAAGGTGTAAGTATTGCTTTTCACATCCTCAACAGTTGCCTCATAAGGCCAATTCTGAAGAAGACCCCATATGAACTCTAGAAAGGTAAACGTCCGAATATCAGTTACTTTCATCCCTTTGGAAGCAAATGTTTCATTCACAATAACGGTAAGGATAATCTTGGAAAGTTTGATCCAAGAAGTGACGAAGGTATTTTTCTTGGTTATTCATTAAATAGCAGATCTTTTAGGGTCTATAATAAATGTAATTTATGTGTAGAAGAATTTGTACATGTTATATTCGATACAAATAATCTCTTGGTCGAGAAAGGAACTACTGCAGGTGACGAAGATCAAACTCAAGAAGCTCAGGATAAAGGAAAATCACAAGAGTCGACTAATACATCTGGGGTGATCGAGTCAACTGGTGAAAATAGCAGCAATATTCTAGATCCATAGATCGAGTCGACTACAAATGCAATTAGACCAAATGAATGGAGAACCGAACCCGAATATCCTCAGAAATATATTATAAGGGATCCAAACGAAGGAATGAAAACCAGGGCTGCTCTCAAGAAGAAAGCAAACATTGCATTAATTTCTCAAATTGAGCAAAAAAAGATAGAGGAAGCACTGAAAGATTCAAGCTGGGTGCAAGCCATGCAAGAGGAATTAGATCAGTTCAGCAAGAATCAAGTGTGAAAACTAATACCCAAACCTGATAATGTGTCTATAATCGGAACAAAGTGGGTATTTAGAAATAAATTGAACGAGGATGGAAAGGTCATAAGAAATAAAGCTAGACTAGTTGCTTAGGGCTATTCACAGCAAGAAGGAGTCGACTATGATGAGACTTTCGCCCCAGTAGCTCGTTTGGAGTCCATAAAAATTCTTCTGGCATACGCATCTTTTAAAGGATTCAGGCTATTTCAAATGGATGTTAAAACGCCTTTTTAAATGGATTTATCGAGGAAGAAGTTTTTGTGAAACAACCTCCAGGCTTGGAGGACTCAAAATTTTCATACCATATATATAAGCTTACTAAAGCACTGTATGGGTTGAAACAAGCTCCACGTGCCTGGTATGATAGGCTGAGTACCTTTCTTATTGATCATGGCTTTACAAGAGGTAAAATAGACACTACTTTATTTATTAAATGATCATTAGAAGGTAACCTCATTATTCAAATTTATGTTGATGATATTATATTTGGTAGTGCTAACCCTTTTATGTGCAAGGAATTTTCAAATCTTATGCAAAGCGAATTTGAAATGAGCATGATGAGTGAGCTTACGTTCTTCCTTGGGCTACAAATTCAACAATCCGAAGAAGAAACTTTTATATGTCAGACCAAATATTCAAAAGAGCTGATTCAAAAATTTGGTATGAACAATGCAAAATCAATTGGCACTCCAATGAGCCCCGCTACAAATATAGACAAAGATGAACAGGGCACCCCTGTTGATGAAACCAAATATAGGGGAATGATTGGATCACTGCTATATCTAACAGCAAGTCAACCAGATATTATGTTCAGTGTATGTAAATGTGCCAGGTTTCAGTCAGCTCCCAAGGAGTCACATTTGACTGCTGTAAAGAGAATCATTTGATATCTCATTGGAACTATATCTTATGGATTGTGGTATGCTCGCTCTAACTCTTTTAAACTAGAAGGTTTTTCAGATGCTGATCTTGTAGGTGATAAAGAAGATAGAAAAAGCACAAACGACACATGTCAATTACTAGGAAAGGCTTAATATCCTGGAACAGTAAAAAGCAAGCATCAGTCACTTTGTCCACTACTGAAGCTGAATACATTGCTATTGGGCAATGTTGTGCACAACTACTGTGGATGTCTCATCAATTGGGTGACTATGAGCTTTCGTTTAAACCTATACAAATGTTTTGTGATAATTCTAGTGCTATTTGTCTTTCAAAAAATCCTGTGCATCATTCTAGAGCAAAGTATATAGATATTAAGCATCATTTTATTAGAGATCATATTCTTAAGGGAGATATAGAAATATCATTTGTTGGAACTTCTGCTCAATTAGCTGATATTTTTACTAAGCCTTTGGTAGAAGAAGATTTTGTACTTTGAGAAAATTACTTGGTATTATTTGCATTTCTAATAACTCTTAGGACCTATGTGCTCAGTTACTTTTAAAGTGCTATAATTGTCCTTTTCCCACACCTTAATTACACATCCAATTTTTCCCTCTCTTTTCGCTTCTTTCACATTAGTTCGCAGTTCGAAGATGGAAAGCCAATCATCACGTCTTCTCCACTGACAACTTTTCCTTTCCTATACTCAACCGTCAAAACCCTCTTCTTAAGTTAGAAAACCCCTTCAGTAACTCTCATCTCCAATACCTCTAGCAAAGCCCCTTCTCTACAATGGCGAAACACTCCAAAAATCCCTCTGCCTCCACTAGAAAGAGTACCCGCTCCAAAGCAAAACCCCCTTCTACGCCTCCTAAGCAAGTAGACCTAGGGTCTGATTACTCTGAAGGCTTCGCCTCATCTCAGGGAGATTTTTCTGAACACTCCCAACTTCTAGGAGAAAAAGCTTTAGGCAAGCGACCCATGGAAGATCCCCATATTTCATCCACCCCAAAGAAATCAAAGGTTGATTTCTCTGCCTCACTCGAGTCTGAACTAAATTTCTGGGATACCCCAAATAGGGATCTTTTCATTACTCTTAAATACAAGCCCATCGCCCATGGAAGGGTCGTGGATCTTGATGATATGGAAGCCCTTAACTGTAAGGTTAAAGAACTTTTTGTTTATCAAGGATGGGAAAAATTCCTCTCTATTGCTCCGCCTAAGATATATGAACCCCTGGTCAAAATGTTTTATGCAAATCTTCGCTCTAGTAAACCGGAGAGGTTGGAATCTCTAGTGCTAGGTAAGCACATTATTCTTGATTGTGCCTTGTTTGACTCACTTTTTCAATGTCGTTGCTTTGGTTTCCCTACTCTGTTTAAAAACGTGTGGCCTGATGACTTTGAATCTCTTTTGACCAAGCCAAACAGTGCATTGTTGAATGTCCCTCTGAAATCCTTCCAAACCAATTGGGCCCCAGTGATGTCAATTTTGAAACTCGGGTTCTGGCCCATATTGTGGCAATCACCCTGTTTCCCCTCACCGGTTCCTTTTCAACCTTCTCTCAAAGAGATACATTCTTTGTCTACTGCCTTATCACCAAACTCAAAATCAAGCTTTCCTCCTTGGTTATCAATTTCATGATAGAAAGTGCTGAAGATCCAACTAGTTTACCCTATGATATGGCAATCACTCATATTCTAGAAGCCCATCAAATTTCTCTGTTCAACTATCCATTCATCACTGTCTCTAAGTCCTATAATTCTAGAGCTTTTCCTAGTATGGGTTATGTGAGTATCAAGGGCTCCTGGGTTAAGAAAAGTGAGAGTGAAGCAAAGCAGGCCCCTATAGAATCCAAATCTTCACCCGTTATTCCTCCTCTTAATCTTGTCAGTTCTGAGCTTAGTGAGAAGTTTGCACTATTAACTCCCAACTCTCTGACATCAAGAACCTTCTTTCAGCCACTCAGTCTACTGTAGGTGACATTCATGCTATTTCCAAGGAAACAGGGTCTGACGTGTCAAAAATCAGAGTTGCTATTCTCAGAGTGAAGGAGAATGCTGTCAAAGCTTTCAAGGAGGTTCACAACAGGCTGGTGTTATGGGCGTCTCTGCAAATACAAGCTTTTAACAATTAAAGGAGGCCATCTGCAACACCCTTACCTATTTCCTGCGCCGCTAGCATACAATCGGCAAATCTGGAAAGGTCTCGCAAATCTGGGCGGAATCTAATCAACAAATCAATCAGCAATAACAACGATTAGCTGAGTTGGAAAGAATCAAATAAGCCTTGAGTAAAGGCACAAATCAAGGGCAGAATCACAGAAGATTGAAGGATACGAGGAGATTTGGTACGCGACCGCATTTGGAAGAACCAACAATCAAGGAGCAATCTTCATTCGTATCTCTGCTGAAGGAAAGCAATCAAGAGAAGCAACGACTCATTCCTTATTCTTGGAAAGAATCAATTCTTTCCATGGATCAAATCTCTTAGGTTGTCAAGCCTCTACCATCCATCAAAGTATTTATACCTCGTTGTAAACCCTAGTGTACATACTTTGATCAAACCAAAATCACTCTCTTTATTCTACTGCAAACAAGCATTGTAGTTCACTAGTATCTGCTGTGTAACAAGTTAGGGAAAGAAAGAGAGCATAGCACTGGTGAGACATTGTATCAAAAACGAGTGCTAGAGAAACTGAGTGAAATTCACTAAAACTGTACTCGGAAGAAACTCATTGACTAAAGAGAACTCCCTTGCAACTCAAGGGGACTGGACTAGGATTCACATTGAATCCGAACCAGTATAAAAATCCTGGTGTCTTTAATTCCTGCAATTACTTTCTGCAATTTACTTCCTGTTATTATATCTGTCAATTTATCATATCTAGTCGACTACTCAAGTAATAAGTCAACTAATAAGCAATTATTTTTAAAAGAGTTACAATTCACCCCCCTCCCCCCTCTTGTACTTTCAATTGGTANCCCCCCCCCCCCTTGTAATTTCATACAGTTATTACCTTGTTTAAATAATTAATCAACCTTTCAACAAGCCTCTAAACTTAAGATGTTGCTTGTGTATACATCTGAGAAAGTTTGGTGTTATATGTATTTATACTCATTGTCTAAATCAATTTCTTAAATGATATAGCAGGCAAGTTCACGTCACAAACTGACAAGTAGAAAGTGATTCATAAGTCCTTTAGTGAAATTATTCCCAAATTAGTTGTGTTGCTCTTGTTGGCATCCCTAAGAGTACACTAGCATTTCATGTATTCGCCATGTTCTCTTGTCTAAAAGTTGCCTGTTCCATAGACCTTTTCATGAAATATCCTATAGCTCATAACATGGTAAGTATTTTACTAAAACCTTTAAGGATCCTTTGAACTATCAGAAATAGTAAACTTAGTTGTTTCAACTTTAGGAACTTTATTAAGAATATTTTGTTGTTTCCTACAATTTTCTAGGTCCATGAGGACTTTAGAGCCCCTATTTTGTTGCTCATTATTCTTACGTTTATCTATTATATCCATAAAGATCTCACTTTTTTTAATTCATGGAGGTAAGTACCTTTTTTATAGTACTCCTCTATCGCTGTAGTGGTAGATTAGTATAAATTTTCGAAATAAACTCTATTATGCATCTTACCGGGAAACACCTCATATGGATCAATGAGCCTTTCACTGGTCTTGTATAGTACTTATGTAGCATTTCTTTCTTGGAGATGGTTGAATGTCCATTGACGAAATTTGACGTCTTTGAAGTTTGAACCTCTAGCCAAATTCTATTATATGGAAATTGGTCCGAGCCACACATGAATAGGATAAGTAATGATAGATTCAGTTATTTGACCCAAATCGCCACACACGTACGGAGGATTAAGAAAGAAGACAAGATGCATCTTATCACGCCCTTGCAGAATTACGATTATGGGAATGGCCAGCTACATAACCATAATTGAGATTCTACTATCGACGTGTGCTCCATTAGTCACAAGAATAACCTAAGCTCTGATACAACTTTGTCACAACCCAATTTAGGATCATGACCGGCACTTAGGAGCAAGTGCTCCCAAGTAAGCATCACCGATAATTTACAGAAAATCGGATAGAGTTTTCCCTATTAAGACTATTCAAAAGTTTTCCTGTCTCATAAATAATTAACAACCAACCAATATTTACCTAAATCAACCACAATCTTCATGAACTAACAAATGAGTTTTCATCAACAATATCAACCTTATAAATAAGATAATACTAAGCTCATCTTAAAAATACGGATAGAAAGTGAAATACTAGTCTTCGCCCACACGAACAAGTGCAGGGCTCACCAAAAACTATCAACTCGTGTACTCTAATTAACGAAATTTTCGTTCGCCTCAACTGCTTTTTCTGTATATAAAAAAAATAGCGGGGAGTGAGTCACTAGCTCAGTGAGTAATAACACTTAACCACAACCATTTTTGATCGGGGACAAGTCAGAAATACATGCTTGTATAATAAAATTTAGAAATTCAGAAATAAGATGCCCTTTCAAAATGGTTGAGAATAATCAGTCTCATTATGTATTTCCTGTAACAGAAATCAATTTAATAATTCGGTAATAAACTCGGTAAGCACTATATCAATCAATTCCTTATGTTTGGGAGGTTTCCAAGAAAGGATCATGTATCTATATCATTGTGAGGACCCCTTCGTAAAAGGAGTCAAATATAACTGTAGGTCCCTACTCGAGGAAAAAACTGTAACTATATGCTAGTTCTACCTTCCCACTAGCGATGGCTATAACTGTACTCGGTAATCGGTAAATACAAGGTGCACCAGGTCTAACGAACCCGTCGTTAGCTACGAGATCCTTCAAAGTCTCCTCCCATTAATACTCTTTCTAGTAAACAGTAAATACTCGTACAAAAATATTTTAAAAATTATAAAGGTCATATAATTTCTTATCAACTCTTGAAATTTTATTTCGGTAACGGTAAGCGTGTCTCAAGTAACTGTAGAATA